CCTCCATCCTTAAACGCTGATGGGAACAGCCCATCTGGGCTAGATGAACATGAGTGGACAACGGAACCAAACAAACAATCAGCCAATCAGGAGTGCAATTCGATCCGTTTGTTGGCCTTTCAAAAATCGATTGATACGTACGTACACGTGTTTTTCTCTCGATCTGATCAACAACTAAGCTCAACATCGTGTCCTATTCTCACTTTCCCTCTCGTGCGCGTTCTGGCAGTTGGGGCTAAAGAATAGACACTTGCGTGATTGAGGCACGCGGGCACCACCATGACAACTCTACACATATCAGTCCCTGTGAATAGGTGGGAAAGTAGCGCGAGTGTGAACAAAACCTGTGAGACACACTAATAAATCAAACGTTGTGAAGCAAGAAAATGCGATCTAGAACGCTCGGTTCCTTTTGGAGATGATATAACTATCCAATATATGTCCTGACTTTGGTTGTCACCAACTCAAAGACCTGAAACGAGCCAAGAGCTTGGTCATTCGTTAGATTCATGCGCGTGCATGCTTGTAGATTTGACAAATCCACATGAAGAGTTTTGCTCCTATTAATAAGCAAAACAGACTCAACACAAAGGAGTTGTAAGAATCAATTAGTACTGTCAAATGATGAGTATCCTCCGGAACAAGAAATTCAGAAAGATAATACTCTCATACGCTAGTGTATACAGTACTTATGAATCAAAGACGTTGCAAATTTGTTTCGGTTCCGCCTGAACAATGGGACCTGCACGGTTTGTTTGAACGAGAGGAGAATGACGAACACCCCTACCACCATCGATTTGTTTATCAGCATACTGCTGGGGACGACGGAGGTGTTAGTCGAATGATGAAACCCAGCTAACATCCCATTCCCACCACTTACGGTATCATATTTCAGTACTACTACAGTATCCTCAGAGATCAAATTTCTTTTTCTTCGCATTTGACCGATCATCTTTCAGACTACATCGTCACGCCCAGTCCTCAGTTCAGCCAACCGGAGAGCTCTAGACTTGAGTTTTGCTCTTACTACAGCTCGTCAGTCCGGAATTCAAACGCGGGGTCTGGAACAGACCCGAAATACTGACAGTATCATTAATGAATTCTATTTATGTTCTCCCTTCCCAGGTACGAAACCAACACACAGTATAAATGCAGCAGGAAACAGAATGACCAGATTCCTAAAAAACTTTGCAATAAACCCGCAATCTGATACCCGTCCCTTAAATGTGACTCATTGCATTATTCGCGACCATTCTGGTTGCTCTCATATCAGCTCCGGGGGGCTCACTCGTGTGCTCTAATTTAGTGCTTGCGATTGTTAGCCAAACACGCCAGTGGGCCCCAGTGATTAGTAAACATCCGTTACCGTTGATTCAGACCGAGCTTCTGTCCGCAGTTGTACGCGTCATTTAATTTCGGCACGTATGTCACAATCCCTCGCGCACGGAATGCGCATGTTCTGCTAAGGGGGGAACCGGCTCACACTCGGATGTCACGTTTAATGACAGCCCGACAATTTTCATGCCTGACGACACCGAAGAAGGACGGGGCACGCTAAATTTTGAAAAAAAAAACGGTGTGAATCAATGAGGATTCCCTTTGAGACAGAGAAAGAGGACTCCGTAATAGGTCAGGGGAATACGAACAGTGAAAATCACGGCGATTGGAAACGGTAGGGCAAATGGAGTCAGAAGGAGTGTTACGCAATTTGATGGCAATCTTTTACAAGGAATAGATCAGCAACTAGTCTAAACAGCCCTTAACCATTTAATTTCGTGACCTAGTTTTGGTTGATGTCTTTCGACTAACAGTTTCATCAACCGACGATTGAGCGAATAGCAGAATTTATAAATTGAGGTTAGCATCCAGGCAAAGGTCAGAAGGTCCCCAACCGTAAGGCTTAGCAGGACCTACTTGACTAAGTCTTCTTATCAGGGTTTCCTACAGGGTCACGTTTTGATCAGTACTAGCTTTTATCCGACCTTTATTCACCTAGGCGAACATCACACGGTGACATGCCCCAACCATCCAAAACTATGGAGGTCAAGCTTTTGTGCTGGGACCGGACTCCGGTTATTTACCACTCTTCGCTTAATCTAGTCACTACTTGTACTGTCATCCCCTCTCTCTCACACACACAGACGTACATACACATTTCCATGAGAACTATTTTGCAAACCCGTGAAGTATTACTGTCCATAAACACTTTTTCCGACTACCAAAACAGCACACGATTCAAGTCTTGTCTGTGAACACCGGGGCGGAAACCAAATCTAAGCAACGACCATGGGGACCAATTTTTTCTAAAACACAAAACCTCAATACACACTGATATTCGTATTACTGCCATGCCTTTTTGCACTGTTTCGATGAAAGATTAACCAGAACTCAGTCTGAATGAGGAAAGGAACGGATCGCATATATCTATGAAACAAAAACGCGGCGAGAGATTTAACGGGGAGCACACGTGAATAAAAAATGCTATTGGTACGTCCGTTCGGGCGGGTTCCATTTGAGCTGATAATGTGGCACGAGCTATAAAAATGAACGAGACCAGATGTCTGAAGAACTACAGTGATCGGTGATTAGATGTGGGTGAACAGGCCAGTGAACTGATCTACACAGATAGGGCCGATCGGAATACGTGATTCGGACGCAAAATGTTCTGCCTAAATCATTTTGGTTATGCAGGAGAACTGAGTGCGCAAGGGAGATGACGGAAGTAGAATCAATATATATATATATATATATATATATACGATTTGTCAGGACTTGAGACGATGGAGACCAACATGATAAATAGTGTCGAATTGATATCCATTGAACGGGAACAGATAAATAATGCAAGTAAGGGACCCAATACATATTTTATATATTTTCACACTCGTCTGAATTCAGACCGTGTGTCAAACAAATCATGTTACAATAATCTTTA